CAGGAAGAGTTAGGAATGTAATTCAGCTTCAATAAATCAAGACTAAAATTAAGATGGCCAGATATGTAGCAGCCTGCTCAGGTGTATGGAGAATTTGAAATTTAGTGCCCTGGTAATGGGTAGCAGCAGATTATCTAATTATGGGGAGAAAGAAGAAATATTGCTCTCTGGGGTAAAAAGCTAAATGCTCTAATCCATTAAACCACCACATCTCTGCCAAAGCTAGATTAATATTAAAGTTCATGTAACATCGGACTTTTTTTTTTTTTCTTATAAGGAATGAAGTCAAATGTTAGGGAAAAAAATACAAATGAAAAAGCTATAGTTCACAATCATTCTCATTTGACTACCTGTCAAATCATTGTGTATTTTATCTTTGGGTGTGATGTACGTGGACCTAAGTATAATGGAGTCCTATTCTTTCTTAACAATATATCTGCTGAAATTTTTATCAACATATCTTGAAGCTATTCTGGACAGACTTTCAGCAGGGCTCTTATGAATCAGATATAGTTGTGAGGGACACAGAGGTCGATGTGCTGGCAGTGGGCAATCTTGTCCATTCATTCTACCGCTATCTCTGCCTTTGTCCCTGGGAGAAACCTGAGGTACCTGTTAATGACCTTGGTGAACCATGATTGTGGGTATAAATGAAGTCATTGGAAGACCAGTGTTTAACAGGGAGTAAAAATGAGAATTCCCACATACGGTATTCCTCCTCCAATCCAAGGTTTTACTTTCCAATGCTTTAGTTGTGTACAGTCAACTGTAGTTACCATTAAATAGAAAATTCCAGAAATAAACAATTTGTGAGTTAAATTGTGCAAGTTCTGAGTAGCATGATAAAATCTTGCCCTGAACATGAATCATCCTATCGTCCAGCATAGACATGCTTTATATGCTACCTGCCCACCAGCCACTTAGTAGCTCTTTTGGTTGCCAGATTCACCTGCGTAGTATCATCAGACTGTTTGAACTAGTCTATTTATTAGTTAATGGTTAATTTCTTACTGTGCTTAACTTACAATTAAGCTTTTAACATAGGTGTGTATGCAGAGAAAAAAATTAGTACACAGGGTTTGGTACTATTTGTCATTTCAGGAATTGACTGGGGGTCTTAGTGCATATTCCCCTGCAGATAATTGGAAACTACTGTTATCTGTTAAAAACTTGAGTGAAATGATCTTCTTGTTATACTGGATGGGGAAGAGGTGTTTAACTGGGAAGTCACATCAAGCATGAATGATTTTCTTGAAATTATGTCACCCATATTGGGACAGCAGTCACTGAGATTTATAGTCACAAACCTCAGAAAATACTTCAGGATATCTTGGATGCTTTGGGTAGAACTGAGCCTAGAGACAAATGGCTTTTTATTATTGCTTCCAGATCCATTATTTCTATCTTTTAAAGTTAGTATTTACTCTTTACTAATGAATAAATGTATGGATCCTCAGCTGAAGAATGATCCCTATTTGGAATTTTTAATGTTCCTGAAATGTGCATGTGGAACTGGGACATGTAACTAATTCAAGGCAGTCAAATCAAGACCAGTGAACAGTATGGTGACAGGAGGTCTTCCAACCCTAAAGTCATACAATTTCATTTCAGCCCCTAACGGAGGTCAATTTGGAGGTTTCTGCCCTCTACGAGAGTTAGTCTCTGTTCTCCTAGCACCAAAATTAACATGAGATAAGGCTAATATGAAGTGGCTAGTACAGAGCCCAGAACACAGAAGACACTGGTAAGTGACATCCAATTATATTTATTTATTCACTTTCAAAGAAGCTGGAAGCTGGCAGCCTCCCAGAGAAAGCTTCATGTACCCTGCCTCAGGAATTTGTTCACAGATCATTGGATTATAAACCCCATGAGGGCGAGGATCTAATTGTGTTATCTCCAGGCCTAGCAGAATGTCTGGTACATAGTAGGTGCTCAATAAATTCAGAGGCAGTCGTTGAATGGCCAGTGCTGTAAGCTTCCGAGAATTACAGAAAGAAAATGGTTGGAAAGGAGCATTTTCAGAAGGAAAAGCATGCAGATGAGGACATTCTCTTTTAGATGAATCTTACAGATCTTTTACAAGCAAAATAAGAAAAATGGACCTTTTTCCCCCAAATGCTTGAAAGAATGAGGGTCAGATTTTTGAAGTGGCAAGTAATATGAATTCATGTTTTACTAAAATGACAACATTCTCTGCCATCACATGCCCTGAGAGGAGCTCACTGTTCAGCAGGGTGGCATTTCAGGGATGGCAAATAAAAAGACCAAAGAGTTTGGCTTTAATAAAATTGTAGGTTAGGTTATGATTTTACAATCTGTCTTTCACTGATGATTTTCTGTGTGGTAAACACCAGGCTAGGTGATTTTTATAATTCCCATGCAACTGAAATATCAGTCATCTTTTACTCATTTCATGAGGAATTTCATGGGTAGTTAATTATCCAGTGTCTCAAAATTGATATACGGAGAGGGTAGTATGTTTGACACTCCCTGCCCCTACGGCGCAAAATGCTTTAATGAGCTATAATTCTCATAGGACAACATTTACTAAAGTGCACAGCCAGGCGCGGTTGTACGTGCCTATAATCACAACAACTTGGGAGGCTGAGGCAGGAGGATCACCAAGTTCGAGACCAGACTCAGTAACTTAGCGAGACACAGTGCAACTTAGTGAGACCCTGTCTCAAAATAAAAAATAAAAATGGCTGGAGGTGTGGCTCAGTGGTTAAGCAGCCCTGGGTTCAATTTCTGGTACTTAAAAACAAAAAAGGCATCAACAGATCCTCATAATGACAACTTTGCATATCGCAGGATCTGGAATCTAGCTTCTGAATTATGAGAGTTCAATTGTGTTCAGTGAAAAGTTATATAGTACATCGGTGATCCAATTTACAAGGTTCTTTTAAAATTGACCATTTGGCATTCAGAAGGTTTTTTTTTTTTTTTTTTTTTTTTTTTAAGCACTACTCACCATGATGGAGGTAGCTAGTTGCCTCTCTAATGCCCTTTTTTCCTTCTTCCTCACTGACAGATGAGTTTTTATTCTGGGTGGCAATGTCCCCACTAAAGAACTATTAGTGGCATTTCTCTATTTTCAGTGTCAATGGATACAGATGAACAAGGCTCCCAGGAAAGGTCCTTTAGTGGACTGACTGAACTGGCAGAAGAGCCTTTGGCCTTTCTTTTTCCCCCTTTGGATCTTAACCAGACTTGACATCTACAGCTCTGATATCAATATTGGATCTTAAGTTGAATTTAAGGATGGAAACTGCCTGTTGAGTATTGAGCAGAGATAGGAGCTGGGTGCTTACACCAACTACAGACCATCTCCCACCTTCACATGAGATAAAAACAATCCTCTCTGATGTTACTTGGTTTTCCTGCTATATACAGCTGTAGCCTAATTGTAATTTATACTTTTCTGGTCAGCTCAAATGGACCTAGACGAATACTGAGCACCTATCGTGGGTGCCAGTCACTGTTTTGAGGGATGGATCTGCAAGGGAAGAGGATTGAATACTAAAGAGGCTATTCGGTGAATATCCATTAGTGCTCTGCCCCATCAGACAGAAATGACCATGATGCACAGTTGCAATCCCACCAGAACATGGGGAGTTTCCACGGGGACACTGACAGCATCATCCAGCTCTCAGCCACGGGAGCCAGCCAGGTCATTATCTTCCTGCCATCCCCTCATCCTCTAGGACCCAAGTTACTGGTGGGAAGTCCTAGCACATAGCAGGACATCTGCTACATCTATATTGTACCCTTTAAGAAAGAACCGAGTAGCAGGTGGAAAGATTCAGAGGGCTAAGACTCACAGCTTAAAGAGGGAAGAGGGCACAATGGTTGCAGGAAGGCTGGGCGGCCCTTCTTGTGCCAACCCTATTGTCCTCCTTCATTCCTCCTGCTCTCCAGGGGGACACGAGTGAAATGCCAGAGGAAGGGTCATTTGTAGCAGTGAAACATCCAGGTAGTGTGATGGTTGGCACCTAAGGTACATCGACTAGCCTGCGCCGACAGTGCCCTTTGTAACTTGATGAGCTAGAGCCCCTCTAGTCTCTGCACATGCAAACACCAAGTCTCCAGTCTCTAAATTAAAGGCCAATTTCTAACATTAAAAATGCTCCCAAGGGCAATGAATCATGATTCATTCAATTCAACCCTGTAAAACTGTCTTGATCTACTGTAAGATACTCATACACTTGGCTTGTTAGTTCTCTTGACTTGGGGACATGAAGGGCAAAAATGGGGGGTTCCTACAAGTCCTCATTTCCTTATAAACAAAAAAATCCCCATCTGCCTGAAGATAAGAAAGGAAACTAACATTTCCTAATAGCCATGGGCTCTATCTTGTTTTTTTTTTCTGTACAGTAACCTTTTCAACTGCCTAAGTTACAGTTATATTCATTTTTACATGTTTACTTTTACAGACTAAGAAATAAGGTTCACTGCTTTGCTTAAAATCATACAGTTAGAATCTGATAAAAAAAGGACTCGACTGAAGCGCTGTACATTTTCTTAAGTACCTGCTCTTCCCATTGGAACTCTGAATCGTATACAAGTCAGGCCTGGGGTCAGCACCAAACTATGCACAGTATTAACCAGAAAAGGACCCAAAGACTCTGCTTTTCTTATTTGGAAAGATAAAGAGCTTTCTTTGGAAAGATTGATTGCTATTTACTCAGCTAGTAAAAGCCATAAAATTTATAGATCCATTAAAACATCTCTTCTTCACACAGTGCTTCAATAGCAGCTTTGATTCTAAGAGAGCTGGCTTTCTATTTAGAAAAAAATTAGTAATTTTAAGTCCAAAATGAGAGGGATAGTAAGAATTTCCCATCTCTTTTAGCCACTGCATATTCCAGTGAACCCAACAACAGAACAAAATCGTTAACTCAAGAAGAATGTATCTTATTCCAGTTCCCTTAAGGGCAGCTCAGTAGTTAGTTTCACCCCAATGAATACCGACTACAGGAAAGAATGAACAAACAAAATGGGAGTTTTTCAGCCATGTTTACTAGCTCACATAAATATTTAAAACAAATACATGTCTTCCCTTTCTCAATCCTTGGTATAAGTTATCACAGTTTTTAATAAACAAAGTATGGTAAATATCCATAGGAAAAAGAATTTTAAAATATGAAAGAGAGGTTAATAAATAGCCAAATACATCAACCATTGAAAGTACTACCTTTTTTTTTTTTTAAAGATTAAGCCACTGATTTGCAACTTTATTAAAATAAATTTGATCTTTTAAAAACCAGGTAATTTATAACTTGATTTCACCTTTTTTTTTGGACAGCAGTTGAATTTTTTTACATCAAAATTTGCAAAACTTCAACTAAAGAACAAATAAAACATCCAGACACAGGTTTATACTTCAAAAATTCTACCAACTTCAACAAATAAACAATGACAGCATATCAATTTACATTAGTACTATGGTCCAGACGCACTTTCCATTTAAAACATTTTAATTACGCCGTGTGTGGCATGGTGACTTCTAGTGGGAGTTAGTGTATAGTCTGTTCTTGATGAAGACAACACTAGACAGATGTTGCCTGACGCCTGGGTAATGCTGAATGTGACAAAACCAGCGAGACACATTGAGATATTTCTCCTTTTCTTGAACTGTCAGGTCAACCTAAGTAGGATTAAAAACACACATACATAATACAGACATAAGCACAGCTATCAATATCATGAGATACTTCTTAGAAATTAGAAAGAAGAAAAAAAAATCTCAGGAAAAAAAACAAAGAGTTCTCCCTCAAAATCTAATGTATTTAGCCACTTGGGAAAGCTATCCATTTATTAAATGTGTTTATGTTTAGTTCAAAACCAGATGTGCTTTCTAATGAAATATCACATATTCCACAAATGCAAAATTTACATGAATCCAGGGCTGGGAGGCACCCAAAGTTTTTTACTTTACTGGAAAAGAAGATGGGACAGGGAAGATAACAGCTTCTGAAACACTAAGACATAATTCTTTCTCCAACATTTTTTCAGTAAAACTCAAAAGATGGAGAGGTTCACAAATATCAACATGTTTAACAAGTGAACATTGTGTTAAAGAAAACAATCATATATTCACACACATTAAAATGGCTGTATAATGTATAATATTACCGCCTCGATACTCAGCTGAGGAAAAACCTCACTCAAGACAATGACCCACTTAATTTCAAGAGATTATTGCTTAACAGAACTAGAGAAAGATACCAAGTAAAAACACAAGAACAACATACCTTCTGCATTTTGTCTGCAATAAAGCTGAACTCTTGTGGATGTAGCAGTTCACACCTGTTACTCTCAAGCTATGAGTACCCAGAGATGTGGCTATAGAAAGATGCAATGAAAACTATAGATGCCTATCATTCCACTAGACTCAAATTCAAAGTAGATAACTCTTAGGACTCTTCTAAGACAAAGTTTGGAATTATTAAGAGTCATCAGGTAAAAAGAAAGCCAGCAGGGTGGTAGTATGCACTGGTAGTATGATTCCTTCTCCTTTGTTGATTCAACATTTATTTAACAGATATTCCAAAATCTCCACAGCGCAAAGAAAATGAACAAACAAAAAACCCAGTCAAGACAAGAGGGAGTCAAACCCATCAGAGGTTCTATTATTGGAGATACTTTTAGTAAGATAGAGTCCTGTGGCTTTTCACAATTTAGCATATACTTATGCTGCAAGTAAATGTTTTGCTAAGTGACTGAACCAATAAAATTGAAATACAAATCACTTCACTATTCAAAACTTATTACAGAATGCAAATTAATATTAACAATAAAAAGGTAGTATTTTTTCAATAAACGAGTAACTGAACTCATTTGTGGCTCAGCTTACTTCAAGTGAGTTTCAGGTTTCAGCAATACACACTGAAGTCCTACACACAGGTGGCTGTAGCAAATTATAAAAATCTGTTCATCTTGCTTGAGGTGCCCTGACACTAAGGAGATGTTACTATACATGTTTCATCAACAATACAGTAGTAAGTCCATGACCCAAAAACAAAAAGCTAACATATTAGTCAAGAAGTCTGGTCAAGGATATCTTTTTTTTAATATAAAAGTTAATTTTTATTAAAATAGAATTCATGTTCAAGTCAAAAGAAAACATCTGCCTGGTGCATTTTTATAGAAGGCACTTAGGCAATCATGTGTGGAACAATCTTGAGTGTTAGTCTGTATTTTAAAATATTTTAAAAACTATTTTGTAAAGAGCTAAATTTTTAGTCCTTATCCAAAGCTTTATGACATGTAAATTTTACCAGAGACTTCAAATAAATAAAAACCTTAATCAGTAGAAAACACAGCTGCAAATCTAAATCTAACAGGATACGGGTCTGAGTTTTCTTACAAGAAACTGAATGAATGAGCCAGGACAGTGATGCAAGCCTGGTATAAACCCAGCCAGTCAGGAGACAGAGGCAATAGGATTGAGAGCTGGAGGCCAGCCCAGGGAACACAGCAAGAGTCCATCTTGGGGGGAAGGAAGGATGAATGGCTCAACCCACAGGGGAGGGGGAACAGATGAATAGAATTTAAAATCAACTTTAGCAAACTTCTTTGGCTGATAGTTGAAGCAAACAGAAGTAACTTTTACTGCATTTTGACTTCGAATCAGTTGGCTGAATTCTGACTTCTTTAAATTTTAGTTCAGAGCTTTTTCATTTTAAAGTCTCCATGTAGCCATTTTGTGAGATGCTATTTTTTTAGTATTCTGTGTACTAAAATACACAGAGAGTAAAGCATTGCCAATAAAGTTCTAATAATTGTTTGATTTATGTTCAAATTGTGCACCTAGATTTTGAACCAAGTGAAAAGGGCAATAGACAGCGAATAGTAATATTTTAGAATGACATTTGCTTAAACAGAATACTGGCATATGTTGCTAGCAGACCTATTATTTAAAACGAGAACAACATTCAATACGCAGCAAAATAAATATTCTCCAACTTAAAAATTTCATATTCAGAGTCTCTAATGGGGCTGGAGATATAGCTCAGTTGGTAGAGTGCTTGCCTCACATGCACAAGGCCCTGAGTTCAATCGCCAGCACCACCACCATTAAAAAAAAAAAAAAAAACAACCCACATACAACAAAAACAAAAAACAAAAAAACCTTACAGAGTCTCTAATGTAAGGACTATAAACACACCCAAACAAAGTAATTTTTATTCTAAGACCTTCGAAAGCTTGTAACATTTTCTAATCTACACTAACAATTTCAATTACATGATCTATTTTACGATATTTTTAGTTGATTTACTTTAAGGAGTGTAAATTTACTCATTTTTCCTCACAAAGTTATGCTAGATACACAGAGCTTTTCTGAAAGGATCAGGGTTCCACTTTAACTTTCTTTTAAACTTTGGAACTTGTCCCTGCTAGTCTGAGAAAATGATGATCAACCTCAATCAGTTACCTCTCCTCCTTGGGCAGACATTTTACATATGCAATTACTGTAAACAAACTAAACAACTTTCCCTTTCCAAATGTACTTTTTTTTTTTAGAACATTTTTGATGGAATCCCCTGGGCTGCTTCACTTTGATTTTCTGTTACCCCTCTTTAGCTAACAATTTTTTCCTTTCTTATAACAGGAAACACCATGCAATTGTTCTAGTTACCATTTCCTGCTTCGTGCTGGTCTACATGTCAGTGTGTCTAGCTGTGCCTGGCTCCTTCTCCCTGCTCTTCCTCTCTGTTTATACTGGCACTCTAATTACTTTAAACCTTACAGCCAAACAGATAATATTCTGAATCACTAATTTTCCATGAAGACATGTAAGACACACTTGAAGTGAACCCTTCCAGATCAGTGTGCAAGACTGATCTGCTCCCCTCCAACTGGCACCAGGAGGCCTTTGGGACATTCTTTAGGGCCGGTGTTCCTGGACTATTTTGTAGCTATTTTACTTTTCTTTTAAAGAATCATATACTCTGCTCGTGTTCCAAACTTCGGAAGAAATGTACTTCAGCTGATAACAATCTTATAGTCAAGCAGCACAGAACATTACAAAGGATTTCAATCATCTTATTAACAGTCTGTCCACAGGGACTACTATCTACTGGTGAGATCACTGGAAGAAAGCAGTGAGTCACTGGTGTTATCAACAGCCACAATGAGGGACACTGAAACAAAGAAGGCACAATATAATATTCCTCAGAGGGATTAGGACAGATCAGATCTTGGAGTATCTCAGCCAACCAAGACTGGGTTCACAATGAAACAAAATACAGCGGTATCACTGATGACTGCTGTTTTGTACACTATGCTGATTACATATCAAGATTTAACAATGTGAAAAAATAAGGCACATTTTCTAATCTACACCAACAATTTCAATTACATGATCTATTTTACGATACAGGCACAATAAGTAAGGGCAAAAATATATATACTGCCAAAGCAAACAAAGCTGAAGAACCTGATGACTATGAGCAGGTGGCCAATCCAGACTTTGTATCTCTCTGAATTAATACCTAGCAATCACTTTTTTTCTCACCTGTGTATATTTATGCCCAATTTAACAGGGATATTATTCAATACCACACAGCAATCCTGTTGTGTGTAGATTTTAGTCTGTGAGGCTTGTTCTTTAAGAAGGTCTTTAGATCTCGGAGTATTCTGCCTGTACTTGGACTGTGGTGAGAGAGATGCTGGGACCCACGGTTTGAACCCAAAGAGATGGTCAGCAGGATGACATAGGTAGTATTCCACTCAAAGTCATTTTGAAAGGGCATAACATCTTTAATCATAAATCCTCAACACCATATATAAAAAGGATGTGCATCCAAAAATAGGAAATATAAATAAGTACAGATGGTTAAAATATAGCTAAAGTAACCCTAATGTCAATCAATATGCAGAACTAGAGGAAACACTCCTAACCTGTCTGAAAACCCAATGCCCTCCAGGGCACACAGACTCATAATTAAATAACTTTGCAGCTGGGCCTAAGAATATTTTGCATTCTGGGATTCTGACCGTGTTTACTCTACTGGCAAAGAAAGGCCATGCAAGCTGCTGCCCTTTCAGAGCCCTTCCTTTCCTGCCGGGGTTCTGTTCTCGCGACTAAAAGGCTCAGGGGTCACTCCAGGAAAACTGGGCTAACTGGGCTGCGCAAAATATCCACACAAGAGACACAAATACCTTTTTCTTTGGGGTCACTGTGATGGCTTCTCTGACCTTAAGGGTCTGCAGGAAGAGAGAGAGAGCACGCACTGACCCCTTTTATTGAAGAGAAGCTTTTCAAATGAGGCAAGGGGTCAGGTTTGAGGGGGCTGAGTCTATCTTCATGATGTCCACTGTCAGGTTGACTGACATTTGGGTAGGCCACACTCAAAGGTACAGTAAGAGCAGGGGACACACACAATGCACTTCCATGGAAGATTCTATCCTAAACAGGGTAAGGGGTTATATTACAAAGGAACAGGTGAGCATAGCTGTAGCAAGACACACCCATGCATGAGACACTGACCCTAGAACCCAAGAAGGGTGGGGAAAGCTCTGCCACATTTCTGTGACTGAGCACCTCAGTACCCAGCAGGGGAGTGTGACTCAGTCATGTGCAAGGTTGGTCTCCCACACTTTTCCTGCCACATGACCTGCATAAGCCAGTAGACAGGAAGAGTATGTGTATAAATATATACTTGGTTTGCAAAAGTTACACCTCATTCTCATCTATTTATTTTTTTAATTACATGAGACATGTTCTCCTCTTTAATGACAGCTCAGTGCTGCAGGAAGCCAGACCCTGAGTCCTGATAGATGCTCACTAGCTGCTGGCAGTCACCACAATTTTTCCTAAGATTAAGCTTTTAAAGTAACCACAGTCAGTAGCACAGGCTCGCTCAAGTCAAGTTCTGGACTCCCCAAGCTGAAAGACTAGGTTTGCCACCAGGAGAGAGATGCTTAGATACTTCACAGCAAATCCTCTTTACCTTGGAGGCTTTTTTTTCCGTTTTGAAATGAGGTAGGTGCCATGTCATCATTCTAAATTCAAAAAGCTACTAAAATATATTGAACCTAGAACGGAATAAAAAGAGGCTGGTGTGATCAATGTATTTCAGCTCCAACTACATTTTCTTCACATTCAAATAAAATTACTATGATTTAATGATACTGAAGAACATAACTAAAGATTACATTTCACTACAGATATACAACCTAAAATACTTTACAAATAGATACAGACTGTGAAATATTGCTAATCTCAAAAGCCCAGAGCTGTACAAGGAACTGGGCCAAGAGCCAGGAGGGGCACAAAGAGAAACGACAGGATCCTCCCTGGTCTCCTATTTTGCTTAAAATTGAGCCATATTCCTTGTAAGTATGGGGACTGTTCATCCCATTTCATTCCTGCTAGTGACTGTAATCCTGCGTAGTGACTGGTAGGCTTTCTTTCATGGCCCAAGTGTTTTGGATGAAAAATCATACGGTCGTACTACTTACAAGCAATATTTACAGTCCAACTTATATGCTTTCTAAACAGTGAAAATTCCCCTGGATAGTCATGGTTATCCAAACTCTGAATGTATTCTTTATGATTCTTCATCCTACTTTACTTGTCTCTTTAAATGATCAAATTATATTCTGATCAGGAGTTATCACTAGATTCCGTTTTCTCTAATTAACTGTTTTCATGTAAAAGTCTTATTTTTTCAATGAGATTAATAATTCCTTGAAAATTGAGTTTATAGGTTTTTTTTTATATCCCTCTCTGGTGGGCACACAGTAGGCTCTCAGGAAATAATTTAAATACAATCATAACAACAGGGAGTTTTATGCTAAATTAAGGATCAAACTAGCCTATTGAAATAATACTATTATAGAATACAATTACTTAGGAATGTTTGAGGAACAATTTTTAATAAGGTGAAGTAAATCCAAATTATGGGATTATAGATTGAGTAGGGAGATTAAGAATACAGTAGTCTACTGGTATCTGCAGGGGACTGGTTCCAGGACACCCACCCCCAGGGACACTGAAATCCACAGAGTTTCACATAACACAGTATAGGTTAAGTATAGACTCCACACAACCCTCCTGGTGTCCCTTAAATCACCTCTAGGTTAGTAATGCACTCAATACAATATAGATGCTACATATGATACTAGATTGGGGAATGAACACCAGAAAAAGTCAGTACAAGTTAAGTACAGATGCCATTTTTTAAAAGAGCCTTTTCAATCTGCAGTTTGTTGAATCTGCAGACATGGAACCTGCAGAAGTAGGGGGCTGAATATAACTGTATCATACATTATTACAGTCTCTTATAGTTTACAAAGAGTTTCCCCACACACTAAGAAGATACTTGATTCAGGAGACTGAGGTTTGTCTTGGCCCTTCAAAAAATGAGTTCTGTGCCTTTGAAAAATCACTCAAAATTCCTAAGCTAGTTTCTGTCTCTGTAAAAGGAAAATTTTTGTACAGCACACCTTGTATTAAAAAAAAAAAAAAAAAAAAACTCCTTTAATTTTTATTTGATAGTTGAAAATACAAATCTGATTAAATTTAAGACAAATCTCAAAAAATATTCTGAACTTTACAGAAAATAAACCAGAAAGTATCCAGATACTCACTATAAAGCGATGAAGTCCATAGTACAGTAGAATATCTGCTAAAGTAAAGTTATATCCTGTAAGGTAGACTTTATCTTCAAGATACAAATTCAGATCCTAGAAAAAAAAACAGTAAAACATTAATGAACAGTATTAACTTGAAAACATTTAGATGGCTATCAGAAATTAAATACTGATATTTAATAAATTCACTCATTCATTCATTTATTCTTTCAGTGGTGGGGAAGGAACTCAGGGCTTTGCACATGCAAACGAAACAAATGCTATGTCACTGATTGATAAATTTATTTATTTATTAATAAATTCAATAAATTAATAAGTTAAAATTAATCTTCGATAAGAAAAAAATTCATTCAAAATCACAATTAGACTCCAGTCACATCATTTAAAAACACAGAATGAACATTATTAATCTCATTTGATTTTAAAGAACATTAAAAAATGAAAGAATATTTAAAAAACATTAGAAAATGATAGACTTCTGAACAATTTCTACCTTTTTGCTGGGCATAGTGGTTTAAGACGCAACCCCAATAATTTGGGAGGCTAAGATAAGGGGTTCAAAAATTCGAGGTCAGCCTGGGCAACTTAGCAAGACCTGCCTCAACGTATAAATAAAAAGGGCTAAGAATGGCCATGCATGGTGGCCCACACCTGCAATCAGGAAACCCAGGAATTTGAGCAAGGAGGATCCCAGGTTCAAGGTCAGCCTTGACAATTTAGTGAGACCCTCAGCAGACTACAGAGATCCTGTCTCAAAATAAAAAATCTGAAAAAAGAATGGGGGAAATCGCTCAGCCAGCAGCTCAGAGATGAAGTGCCCTTGAGTTTAATCCTAAATTTAAATTAAAAAAGAGTTGGGGATATAGCTCAATCCCCAGTACAAAAAAAAAAAAAGTTGAGAATTCCAAGTTACTGGGTTTTGCAGTACATTTGTGTATATGTATGTGTACTTTATGCATACACATACATTTTTAAAACTTTAATTGGAATACATTACACATAACATAAAATTTACCAACTATTTTTAAGCATACACTTCAGTAGGGTTTACAGTTGTTTACATTGCTATATAACCAATCTACAAACTTTTTCACCTTGCAAAACTAGAACTCTATGACCCATTAAACAATTCCCCATTACTCTCCCCTCCAAGCCTGGCAACCACCATTCAACTTTGTTCTGTGACCAACTACCCCAGATACCTCATAAGTGGAGTCATGGGGTAGTTATACTTCTGTGACTGGCTTTATTTCACTTGTACAATGTCAAAGTTCATCCATGTTATAACATGCATCAAAACTGTCTTCTTTTTAAATGGCTGAAGTATACATGTATGTATACACCATATTTTGTTTGTCTATTGACACAACAGACACATGGGTTGTCTACCCTGCCCTAGCTGTTTAACAATGCTGCTATGAATGCAAGTGTAAATCTCTCCTCAAGGCAATGCTGAATTCTTCTGGGTATAAACCAAGAAGCAGGATTGCTAGATCATAGAGCAACTCTATGAATGTCTTGAGTAAGTGCTGTCCTATTTTTTGCTAACAGCTGCATTTTTTTTTTTTTTTTTAATATTCTCACTGACAGTGTATCAGTTACAATTTCCCACATCTTTGCCAACCCTTGTTATTTTCTGGCTTTCTTTTAATGGATTTGTTTTGGTGGGTGGCAGCCATCCTAATGAATGGAAGATGGTATCTTATTGTGAGTTGATCTGCACTTCAATCAGTGATTATAATTTCAGCATCTTTTCAAATACTTATTAGCATTAGCATATAGTCTTTGGAAATGTTTACTCAAGTCTTTTGCACATTTTAAAATCAAGTTATTAGTTTTTTGTTGAGTTGTTTTTTTTTTGTATACTAAATATTCACAACTTATCAGATACATAATTTTCAGATATTTTCTCCCAGTGTGGGTAGATTTTTTACCTTTTTGTCATTGGATATAAGATTGAACTTTGAACATCAAAAACTATTTTTTGTGACTAAAATCAGAATTCATAAATATATTTTAGCTATGAAGATAGTCTTAAATGTAGTTTTCATAAACTATGAATAGGAAATACTTTCCTGATTAGTGACATAAAAGGTTTCCTATCAAATAGAATTTCACACTTGAAATAGTCAAAGAAGGGAAATGTCTAACATTTCTTCATTTTTAAAAACAAGTCTTTCTGATGCTATTGCCAAACCTGCTAAAATATTTCCTCTAGAAATCCAACTGATTTTTCTTTTTCTTCCCAGCTATTATTAAACTTTTAAACATCATACAATCGAAAGTTGAAAAAACACAATAGACAACTATATGTATCATTCATCTAGAGTCAAACAATGTTAGTATTTCACAATTTTTTTTTAAAAAAAATATTACCTTACTTATAAGGCATTTACTCTTAAGAGCTGTGGTTTTAGCACCAAAATGGAAATTTGACAATTAAGAATTAAATCTTTTCTTAATATCCAAAGAGCAAAAGATTTAAAAATTAAATAATAAGGTAGCCCAGTACAAACATGGTTAAAGAATACATACAAGTAAACGTTTAGAAATAAAAATGGTTCATGAGCATTATGAAAAAATGCCACAACAAAGTCTTATGAAAACAAAGAACACAATGTCAACAGGGAAATCATTTTTTGGCTTGCTTGTTTTAGTAATGTAATTGGGGAGGTGATGGAGAAAAAGGAAAATACCTATGTTGTTTTGTGGAAGAGGCCACTTCATATACTGACATATTGTAAGATTACACTGTTCTGGAGTCCACAGGAACCATGTAGCCTTAAAAAAGATCTTTTTCTTTTTTTTTTTTGGTAAACAAATAGGGGAAAACTGGATATACATATGTTGAAGAAAAAGACTAGACCCTTAATTCTTATCCTGCACAAAAAGCAAGTCAAAATGGAACTAAAACCTAGGAATTAGATCAGAAATTATGCAACTCCTGGGAGAAAATACAGGGTCGACACTCCAACATATAGGCACAGGCAACAACTTTCTCAATAGGACCCCCTAAAGCTCAGGAAATAATGCCAAGAGTTAATAAATGGAATGGCATCAAATTAAAAAGCTTCTGCGCAGCAAAGTAAACAATTTAGAATCTGAAGAGAGAACCTACAGCAAGGAACAATAACGTTGCTAGCTGACAAAGGATTAATATCTAGAATATATAAATAACTCAAAAAACAACCCAATTAATAAAGGGCCAATTAATTAAATAGACACTTCTCAAAAAAATAAATACAAATAGTCAACAAATATACAAAAAAATGTTCAGCATCATTAGCAACTACAGAAAGGCAAATCAAACCTACACTATTTATATCACAGCAGTAAGAATGGCAATTATCAAGAATACAAACAACAAAAAATGCTGGAGAGGATGTGGAGAAAAAGGAACATCTTTACACTGTTGGTGGGATTGTAAATTAGTACAACCACTATGAAAATCAGTATGGAGTTTCCTCAAAAAAGACGAGGCATGGAACCACCATATGACCCAGCTACACCACTCCTCAGTATTTATCCTAAAGAATTAAAGTCAGATAATATGCATACCCATGTTTATAGAAGCACAATTCACAATAGCTAAACTGGAACCAGCCTAGGTGTCCATCAGTGGATAAATGGATAAAGAAAATGAGGTATATGTACACAATGGAGTTTTATTCAGTCATAAAGAAAAATGAAATTATGTCATTTGCAAGAAAATGGATGTAAGTTGAGACCACTGTGTTAAGTGAAATAGGAAATTCAGAAGATCAAGAATCATGTTTTCTCTCATATGTGGAAGCTACAGAGGAAAAAGGAAAAGAAAGGTAAGGGAAGATGTCTCATGAAAATCTAAGGAAGATCAGTGGAAGAAAGAGACCAAGAAGTGGGAGATAGAGAAGAAGGTGGGAATTGCTGGGGAGTGATATTAGCCAAATTATATTATTATATTATGTGCATGTATGAATATGTGACAGCAAATCCCACCATTATGTACAACTACAATGTACCAATTAAAAAAAAAAAGGTAGAAAAAAATAATGGCAACTTTCAGGAAGAAGAAAAAGAAGGCAAGGCTTTTCTTCTAGCAACCTCCCTTGTAGGAATTTAGCCTATGAAACAAATAGGAACATGTTCAATTATCTAGCAACAAGCTGATAACTACCTGGGGGTAGATAATTTAAACTGTGGTACAACTTTGTGCTGGAACATACAGGTTATCAAAAGGAAAGAGCACACACGGACATGAAACAATGTTCCCAACACTCCGAGAGCAAACATAAGCCACAGCAGGTTGCTGTGTCCAATAATGGCCCACTTTTTAAAAAAGTCCCGCATGCTTGCATGCATGGGAAGACCATAAAAAGGATTTAATAAAGACCTGATGACTGAACGCAAGCATTAATAATAGTTCACTCTCGATCATGGGACAATGGTTGTTTAAAATGTTTTACATTTGCTTACTTCATATTTCCTAAATTTCTGTAACAAATATTGACTGCCTTTAAAATTAACAACACTATCTTGAAACACCACAGTTGCAAACAAAACAAAAACACAACAACCCTTTCCTTTTCCTGTGCTCCTATGGTGAAAAAGCACACTGTAGTCCATTCACCTCCCCAACTAGAGACAGAACAGCCTGCTCCAGACAGAGGTCACAACAGGTACAAGCTACCTTGAGCTAAAAGGCAACAGGCAAATGCAGCCAAGAGTTGGAGGTCTGCATACCTTGAAGCAAAAGAGAACAGGTAAAGGCAGCCTGTTCCCAGGTCTGGAACCCAAGGGGAGAGATTTCAGCTTATTACAGTCCACGCATTCCAACAAATCACAATACCTTCAACAGCGTGTGGATATCCTCTTTACTGGACTGTCTGTCTACTCGAGTGACCCTGTATTCCAGCCACTGCTGAACTGTTGCTTTTTCTTCTGCAGTACTCCCCAGCAAATACTCCTTGTTGGCTTCTTTGACTAGATGAGTTGCTATGGTAGTCAATCCTGTTAGGCTTGGACCATTATTTGTTTGAAGAACTGGAATCTTAAAAAAAAAAATTCTTCAGATAAATTAAAAAAATAAAGACCATCAATCATGACTACAAATTCTCAGTAATCACTATATCATGCAGCTGGTTTTCCCATAGTCTTTGTTTTTAAGATCAAGATTATCTATACAGATTAATCAAACAGTGCTAATCCAGGTAAACTAGATTATACAGCAGTAACAAAACCTAAACTCTTACCTTGCCCAATATAAGCTCATTTCTGACTTAAGCAAAGTCTACTGAGGTCTGAAGTGACTGGAGTGTAGCCCAGAGATTTGGGCTCCTTCCATCGTGGCAACTCCCTCATGAAAAATGTCTACAATCACTACAATGGGGGAACTGACCACGGTGGGTGGCACCAGTATCAGCAACCAAAATCTGGAAGTGATGTTTGTCACTATTTCATACATCTCACAGCCAAAACTTTCTCTTAATTCACTTTTTTGGTCCCAGAAAATTTTGATTTTTGTCATTCCCTGATTCTGGAAAAGATTATGCCTTTGCAACTACCAACTTCTGAGAGTGACATGCATTTCATTTACCTAAGACCTATTTTCAAATAAAATCAATTTAGAATTAAAAAAAAAAAAAAAAAGAACAAGAACAAAGGTCACTTGGTTTATAATGGCAGAGTCAGGGTTCAAATAAAATACCACTGGCTCAGAAGTCCATTCTCTTTATATAACCTGAAGTATACAACTGCTAGTCTTATGTAGTTGCAAACATGGAACACATACTATTTTCACATCAATCTTACAGTTCATGATCTTCAAAGCAATTACTTTTAATGGCTGCATAAGTAATATTCCAATGTGGTAATGTACATTTTGGGAGCCTGGGGGTGGGGAATGGTAGGGATAGAATTCAGGGTCTCAACATTACTCTACCACTGAGCTACACATCTATCCCTGATGTACCATAATTTAATGAACCATTCTTCTACAGCTTAATCCCTAGGCTGTTTTCAGTTTTAAATTATTTTGGGTATGTGGCAGAGAGCTTTAATTCTGGTTTATTTGCTGTCAGTTGCTTAATCAAAAAAAAATGGCTGAAACTTATCTGCAATGCCCAGCCCTTTCCCTAAACACATAAACAGAAACTTTCAATAGCTACCCAGTGCTAAAATTTTTTAATCAAAATAAAATAAAATACCACACTTTGAACTGGAAAGCCCTCACAGTTGGACCTCAACTATGATTTTGGGTTTACCTTGCATTGCACCCACTCCCCATACTGATTTTACTTATTGCTCTAGACTTTCCAATCTTTCGTAATTTAGTGTTTTCACACATCTTTCAAAACCTAATTCCTTAAACGCCAGCTTTTCCAGGAAGAGTAAAAATCCATCTTCAAGTCATAATTAACTTGCTCTTCCACATTTCTCACTAATGTTTTGTTCCACTAGTACATATCTGCTGTGCTTTCATTTAATTGTTGTTGACTGCTTCTCATACTAGGTGACAAAGGTTTAAGTGTTCCCAGTGTTTTCTAAAAAATATAAACCAATATTGAAAAGTGGCTGACCACAAGGAATTGGTACCAGGAGGAGGAAAAAGAAAAAACAGGCCACCTTAGGGCCAATGCCTAGCCTAATCTGCCACCAATCAGAGGGCCCATCTTAGGCAAGTCACAACCTCACCAGGCTTCGAGTTATTTTAAATGTAAAAACTAAAATATTGCTACTTTTGAGACAAGATTTAACATCAACCAAGGAAAGAAAAAGTTAAGGCCAAAACACACTAGTCTGGAAAAACCTCAAAGGGGCCAGAAACATCAGAATGCATCAAAGTAGTGTTCTACAGCACTTTTTTTGCTGTAATACATTCGCTCCTCGGCAAACAATGACCTTCATAAAACACAAATGTTCTTTTCAATACCCTGGGAAATCTGAGTCTTTATGCTTCATTAGTCAGTCTCACACTCTGTAACTTTCCCTCATTCTCTGCACAAAGCAAACCGAATTTGGGATTACAGGCCTCAAAAAAAAAACAGCCTTCCCTGAATCCTCCAGGGCCAGCCAAGCCCCCAGCACATGTTCCCTTGGCCATAGCCTCGTCAAAGTAGCACTTTCCGCTACTATAATTTAAATCACTGCCAAGTTTGTCCACCCAGCCAAACAGCAAGCTTCCAGAGGGGAGGGGGCGTGTCCCCTTTATTCAACGCAGAATTCCCCAGGCCCAGTGCAGTACCACCGGGTCCCCGTTTGCGCTGACGGAATGGTTGCGCAATTAACCAAAGATGCAATTTCGGCAAGAGCAGCGGGTGAAGGCGAACGCTGGCCTCCACCTTGCTCCATCGAAAGGTCTTTTGTACCTTCCCTCAAATGGTTTCGTGATGGCTGAATGGGATGCTGAGAATGTCGATGGAGATAAAGCTCAGGCCGAGCCCGTCCTGAGCAGGTTCCCCTTCGTCCCTCCAGGACCTAGAGTGGCAGAAGCCTACGAGGACCAGCCGACCCGCGGCTCGAACGCAGACACGTGGGAGCCGCGGAGCTGCATCCCAACCCCGCCGGCCCGGCCCCGCCAGGTTCGGCAGGCCCCGCTCCAGTCCGCTCCTTCCCCTCCGCGCCGCCTCTGCAGCTCACCTGTCTCTCGCCCTGGGCACTGTACTTATTTCCCTTACTCAGCCCCAGGGACTTCTCCAGCAGCTTCAACTCCGCGGCCGCCGCCATCTTCCGGCCCCAGCTCTTGAGAAGGGTGGAACCAGGACAGCAAAGGCCTCCTGCATTGGCGGAGACGGAAGGCAAGCGTCACCGGTGATTGGCTGAACGCGCAGGGGAGCGTGAGGGCGTGCCTGAACGCAAGAGGCGTGGCCAAACGAAGGGGCGGGGTCTAGGAAGGGATGTGGGACCGGTGAAGCGGTGATGGCCAATTTCCATTCGCCTCCAGGTAGAGCGAGCAGCAGATCCGAGCTTGGGTTGCTGCAGTCGCCTGTCTTTGCCGGCGTCTGAGTGGCAGGCTGCTGGCCTGGCTGCCAGAGTTAACTAGGTACTTCATTTGGCAGCCTGAGACTTCGAATATAATGAGTAGTTTGGCTCAGGGGTCTGAATTTGAAAGATTGATAGTAAGGAGTTCACAGTTCATTAAGAGTTTCTAACCTATAACATCATTCACGGGGACTTTAATTGTGATGTAAGGGTGATTTGGAAAACCTGAAAATCCTTAATCACATCTCTACAGGTCCTTTTTCCTTAAAAAAAAATCACGTTTACAGATTCCAGGGATTAAGATGGGGCCCATGGTCAGCCTTCCAGACCTTCATTTCCAGAACACATGGAACATTCTGTTTCTTAGGACTAGAAGAAAACAAGAATTCTAAAGGACAAAATACATGATTTATTAAAAACTAATAATAAAATAAAAATGTTAAAGGCCTTTGAAACCTAGAATTACAAAAACATTCTTGTAAAAATCTCTTTGCTCAAAAAGGAAATCCAAGTTGAAATTGCAAATTCTGTTATGAGGGATATAGTAATAGAAGAAAATTTATACTATAAAATATTCATATTAATAAAAATGAAAATAAAGAATTTTAAAATAAGACAAAAAGCAAAAGCAAAAAAGTAATCAAGATAACTATAAGAAAACTAACAAGGAAAAATTAATAAATAAAATTAACAAAACAATTGCTAATGTAAGAAAGAAATAAAAAGGGGGAAATGCATAAATACACAAAATTAGAAGTGACAAAAAGGAAATGTGAGCATAGCAAAGGAAATTAAAAGAAAATCGAGAGACCTACTTTTTGGAAGTTATGTAAATAAATGTGTAAACTCAGATGAAGCATTTCTGAACAATTTTTCAGAATAATTTACTAAAAAAAAAATGCAACCTAATAGAACTGACGTTGGTGGGAGAGGAATTTTAAATATATCAATTACTATGGTAGAAATAAAGGAAGTAGTGAAAGAATTTTCTCATAAGACGTACCAACTCTATTCTTTCAGGTGAAGGTCAAATGATACAGTCCATCCCATAGAATATTGGCAAAAATACCAAAAATCAAACATTCATGCATAAGATAATTGATGTTCTGTTTATGATAATAAAAATTGCAAACAGATATTCCTACATAATGGATTGGTAAAATGAGCCTCAGTAAATTCATACCATAGATTCTTTTATGCAGCTTTAAAAAAGAATAAGGAACCTCTCTATGTAGTGGTGTGGAATGATCTCTAGGATATGTTAAGAGAAAAAAAGCAAAGCAAAGAAAGTGTTTATGGCATGCTATCATTCACCTAATAAATTTGGGGTGGTATAAATATAAACACATTTTTGCTTCTATTTTAAAAATGAATTACATACCAAAAAATGTTTAAAAAAAAGAAAAAATATTACTTGTGAGGGAGGGAATAGTATGTAGAGAGCAGAAATAAAAACCAGAACTTTGTAACTACATCTTTTCAGTACAGAAGTCTTTCATGTCCTCAAAACACAATGATTTAATTATGCATTCTTTGTGAGAATATTCTATACTCTAAGGACATGAAGTTGTGAAAAAAGTTTTTGGTTTTTTACTGTTGTTGTTTGATGAGCATATTGGCAGCGTCAGTGTTGGTATTGTTATTCCAAAGCACACGCATATATATGGGATAAAACAAAAGAAAAATTGTGGAACTTGGAGCTTTGGCATTGCAGAAAAGGAAGTAGATGTACCTTAGGTAAAGCAAAACCAAAATTCTTCAGTCCTGAACTTGAATCTGAGTTCATAATGGCTTTATCTTAAGAAGAATAAAAATATTTCCTTCCTGTTTTATTTTAAAAGGCCTCAAAACAAGGACTACTCAATAGCAATAAGAACCCCTGAGCACCCGGGTTCTACTTTCAGATACTATTTCTCACCAAAAGGAAAATGCCTAGAAAACTGGAAACATTTTGGAGATTGGCAAATTCCAGACCTGAGCAGAAAATATCTGAATTGAGCCTGGATCGTGTTGTGTAGCAGAAAGGGAAGAAATCATATAAGAGTGACCATGGATGTCAAGGGATAAGATAAGATCACTTTGGGGTCAATAAGAATAATTACAATGAGTTGAAACACTTAAAATAGATTTAAATCTATCAGTTTATAATGATGCTGAAAAAGAAAAATAAGACCAAACGTGAAACAACCCTTGCTGGTCACCTTTTGAAGACACTAGAGACCTAACTTATTATTTTGAAAATGATAGAGAACAAATAAAGAAATCAACATTTGTCTTAATCATCCTAAAGAAGCTCTATTTCAGGGACATCAAGCACTGATGAAGGGAAGTCTCTTTATAGAGGTATTCCAACTAATCAATGAAGGCAAACCGTAGGATATCATTGTTTTTCATCCTCCAGTGAAATAATGGACCTAGGTTATGATCACCGATAGCTGTTCATTGCCCCTGAAGTATCCTGGACAAACGAATCCAATTTTGATCAAGACTTTGGATCTAATGCCAAATTTCTAGCGAATCACAATGGGAAAGAAGATCATGTTACATGATTCCATGGAGATGCAAAGAGCTCATTCTAGACCAAGGAAAATGCTGTATGACATATTGAGGTAGGAGCTTAGGAGCATCAAAATAGCAGAGGCAGGATACAAGAAAAGTGCTGTTGGAGTACAAGATGCAGAGATGAGTCTTCCTGTCCCTGTTTACAAAAGTCTCATTACCATGAAGAAAGCTGCTGAGGGCCTATGGCCTGTGGCAACTCTCAGCACAGGCTCTACATTTTAGTTAGGCGAAAATAAAGTAACCAATGGGAACAAATGGAGCAAAGTCTTCAATCAGGTCTGTAGGGAGAGCAGAAGGTGGCACAGCTCTGCATATATGACCAGACTAGTCCAGACGTCAGGGCCTTGAGCCATTCTCTCTAGCTAGGCCCACTCCACTCTACTCTATGGGGTGTTAATTTTACTTTTCATAAATCTATGTACTGCTCTTAGGGAACACACAGATGAGAATGGTGGGAACCCAAGGTTACAAAAATAATTCTATAAAATGGGTCTACTGTGCTGACCCCACATGCTTTCTTTTTCCAAGAAACTGATAGATTTAAATATATTTTAAGCATTTTAATTCATTGTAATTATTCTTATTGACCCCCAAAGTGATCTTATCCTATCCCTTGACATCCATCGTCACCCTTATATGATTTCTTCACTTTCTGCTACACAAGATGAGTTACCTGAAGCCCTTCCTGGCTTAGGTGGGCAGGCTATCTCACTTTCTTCAGCAAACTACCAGTTACCTGCAGGAGAAATGCAGGCCCAAGATAATGTCAGTAAGAGGAACCCAGGTTACCTGAAGTGGGGAGACTTTTGAAGCTCCGGGAGGTAAGGTTCCTCCTAACCATAAAATCTGTAAGAATGTGGTGTTAAGAATCCAATTAAAATTGGTCAGCATGGGCCAAGGTGACCTGGAGTTGTCATGGCAATGGGGACTTGAAAGTCCGATATCATCTTGCTGTCAGTCAAAAGCCAAGAGGTGGACGTGGGTGAGACTCTCTGGAAACCTCTCTAGGATCCCCAATAAATCTTGAGTGCAGTAAAGACATGCTGTCCTCTTCTCTGAGGGGACCCATTCTCTCCCTTGAGAATGTCCTCTTTCCCTTTTTATATCCCTTCAATAAACTCATTCCTATTACTCTGAGGGACTTCTCTGAAATCTTTCTGACTTGATTGCAAGAATTGGAGTTTGAAGTGGGCAGCCTTCACACTGCTTCAGTTGCTCGGAAGGCCCCATCTTTGTAACACTGCCTGTTATTTTCACATATTTTGCTCAATTCTTTATTCAGGTTGTCAAGATCCCAAGTGGACACTCCAATGGTATCAACATGATTGATTGTGTCAACAAATAAATTCCAAAAAGAAAGAAAAAAAAACTGAAGGAAAGGAGAGAGGAAGGGAAATGTAATTTTGGGGTGATCTGTATATTTGATTTTGGAGATGTCTGTATCAAGACAGCCTAACTCATAATAAAAATAATTAGAGGAATTGAGTTTGTCGGATAGAACATTTCTCCAGTCCCTTGATAGCACAGTCAAGTTTTAAGTCCACAGTACCTTAGGATACAAATTAAATGTCAGATGAAATTAATTTGGCAAGCAGAACACGGACTGGGTGGCTTTCCTTTCTGGAGCAGACGTGACAGCTCTCTCTGTGTCTTACTGGCATCTGTTAAAATGAGCCGCACATGCCAGAAGCTGTTACTGTATCGAGTTGCTCTTAGTGGTGCCATCAGCTGAAAATGCTCTGTTCAGGGGAGTGTATCATTCTATTTCAGAGTATGTTGGGGTTTCCAACTCAGGTTTAACAGATATCCAATGTGTGGCAAACAGGGTGTTGACCCAGGGGCTGTAATTACTTTATCTGTCACAGACACCTTTCATAGCTATGGGTGCCTTGCATTTGCCCCACCTGTTCATCGAGACATTTCTATGCACCAGGCCCTAAAATAAGCTCGGGGGACACATGGGGGATTAACCCTCCATTAATCTTAGGGTAGCTTCAGGGGAGACTGGTCCATGTCTGAACCCAGACTGCCTTCTGGCCACTTTTGGACCTTCTGCAGGATGAGATGGAACCCAAGGTCTCCCATGTGCAGGGCAAGCATTCTACAAATGAAACTGAAATTTATTCTTAGAATTTTTTACTCATTCTGCTATACTTTTAGAACTTTGGTTTGTTATGCACTTTCTCTCTCCTTAAT